ACCGTACGGCGTTGGAGCGCGGCCCGAAGGGAGTCCAGACAAGGAACGGTGCGTGCATGTGCGCCGTTGTCGTGCTCCTGGGCGCCAGAGGCAGCGGCTGCGCAACGGCAAGATCCACGGCGTCAGCCTCGTGCTGCGGGACCTGCTGCGCAACGCCCGCGCGCTGTGCGAGCTGCTGCGGCAGTCGGCCGTGGCGCGGTCGCAGGAGAATGTTCTCCTTCCCCCTGGCGACAACGGGCGTGCTTGGGGGCGAGGGGTGGAGGCAGTGCGAGGGGGAGAGGGGGCTGGTCACGTGGCGATTCGCGCAGACAGCGTCTGGGAATGCGTAGCAACGGCTCGTTCCCTGACGGCGCCGACGCGAATCGCGACGTGACCAGGGAGCGGAGGGTGGTGGGGAGGCTGCGGGCCCGGTAATGGGTGTCGCGAATCCTGCAAAAATAGCTCTCCAGGACGGGTCACAGTTCTACTACCCCGTGCTGCTCGAGCCGGCGATGGCCGCCCGCGGCGAAAAAAGAACGGGGGGGCTGGCGTCTCAAAGTGTTTGGCGTTTTTGCACACTTTGTGGGGCCCGAGCAGCCTCATATGATTATACATCCAGCACGGAGCATTGCAGCAAAGAGATGTGACCTAGCTCCAGTTGTGATTTTTCGCGATGCCTCTATATGTTCGGGTCTTGTGATCTCAGGGAACGTGGGGGGATCGAGGATTGCAGGGAAGTGCCCCTAAAGGTGCCCTACAGACGGGCCCTGAGCTGCCACCCCGGATCCTGAAGGGAACAGGAGAGGTGCACGCCTCTTCGCCTCGCCCCACGATGATTGCCCCCCGTTGACCCGTAAGATCGAATAGGATGGGCACGAAGACCGGCAGCAAGTCTCCTGCTCACTTTGAGCAGGATCCGCCGTCGGCGTCGCTATGGACGCTGTCCATTCGAGAGAAGCGGCCGCCTGTCCAGTAACGGCCGCTGTCGGATTTTAGACAGCGTTTCCTGGTGGGCATCGCACCCATTCTGGGTGTGCCAAGAGGACGAGGAGGAGGAGGAGAGGGGAGGGGGGAGGAGGAGAAGAAGAAGGAGGAGGAGGAGGAGGAGGAAGAGGAGGAGGGGAAAAGAAGAAGAAGCAGGAGGAGGAGGAGGAGGAGGAGGGGAGAAGGAGGAGGAGGAGGAGGAGGCACATTCCGATTCGATCCGATTTCCCGACTCGATGCTGACAGATCCTGCCCCAGATGTAGGTGCGAGCCTTCTCAGAAGGCTCAGAAGGCCTCGGGCCTTACGAGGAGCTTCCTGCGCCATTGCCGAAGTCGCAGAGGGCCTCTAAGATCTCAGGAGGCTGGAGGGCTTCTGAGAAGCCTCACCGCCTTCTGTGGATGCCTTCCCCCTATCGCTTCCCCCTCGGCGCGCCGCCGGAGGAGGGAGGGAGGGAGGGAGGGAGGGAGGGAGGCGGGACGGGGGGGGGAAGAGGAGATGGAGGAGGAGGAGGAGGCGGAGGGAGGGGAGGAGGTTAAGTTTGCCCAGCGCAAGAAAACATGTGAAGAGGGGGAGGGGGGGGGGAGGAGCAGGTTTAGAACGCTCCAGCTCCGCTTGTGAAGCTTTCCCGCCCATGTCTCTCCCTCTCTCTCTCTCTCTCTCTATATATA